TAAAATAAACCCGCCCAAGTTCCAACAGCACAGTTGCGATACGTATATTATATTGTTTTCTATAAAAGACAATTATTTTATTTCGTTTTATCGGTAACAAAATCGTGGAAATTAAAAGTTTTGGGAAAATTGCGTAGGTATTGAAGGAGCCCTCACTGTACTGCTATATCCATATCACGATTCGTAAGTACAATAAGTATCTACCTACATCAAAAATTGCCGAGAACAACTCTAATTTAAGTTGATCCGTGTAACTCGTTTATTAGATTTTCTAAAAATACGTTTTGGAAACAATGGTTACTGTTTGTCTATAAAATTGGCATTGTTTTCTTTTCCTTATTTTTTTCGTATCAAAAACACTCATGTGTGCGTCTTAACCGATAAATCATTAGTGTTGGTCGGTCCGAAAACTGTTTCACTCGCAAACGGAAAACACGGAACTCTGATCTGTTGTGTACATACCGCAAAAAAAATTATATACGACGTAATGTTACAGCATTGCGTCGCCGCAGCGTTACGATGAGAGTGGTGTTGCAGCAACAGCAGTAGCGCAGTGTTGCGCCGAGATCAAATATATTAAAATACTATTATGTTTTGATTATATACAGCTTAAATACGTCAATATAATATTGGGGGGAGAAAAAACATAGCTGTGCGCACGAGAAAACTGTTTGTTCTGTGGTAATTATATGTTACATTACAGGAGCGAAACGTAATTCATAATTTTCGACTTAGCAGTTTAATATATTTTTGATGATTATTCACGGAGGAGAATAAAAACAAAAGGGGCTAGTATATTTTATTATTATTGTTATGATAATAGTAATTATTATTATTACATTCAAACGGGGTGGGATAGGTACCTAAGTCGGGAACAATACTTTACACACAATTAAGTGTACATTTTCTTTTATTCCCGGTCATAAAGCGACGGGCGTACGCGTGTACATTAAATTGAAACCGTATATATACGCAATAAAAACCAATTAACACTAATGGTCCTGATAAATGGCATGCAAAGAGTTTCAAAAACACTCGCATCTGATGACCACGGCGACGGTTCCGGACGTTCTTGATTTTACGTGTTGACATCATTGCGTGAGCACAGCATTCGTACTGATAATATTTAAAATCAATCGCGTTATAAAAACTATAACATCAAATCTGATATTGAAATGATTACATTTTATTTCTTGAGTCATATCGTTTTGGCACCGTTTAAATCGTTATTTTGCGTTATTTAATTGACTAAAATCACAAACTGAATAACTCATACGTTAATACCTTGATTGATTTCAAGGATCTGCATGTATTTGGTAGAATAATGATATTGGTTTTTGTCATCTATTTATGTTCGACTCTTACGCACATGCGATACAGCACAATAGTATTATAATAATAATTTCATTGGTACAAAAAAAAAAAAAAAAGAAAACAACGTAGTTATATTACGACGAATATTATTCGTTTCTTTTAAAGATTTTATCGTCGTAATGGAATAATTTGATTATTTCCACATGCATATCATTCAAAATAAAGGTTATACACACTCGCACTATATTATATTATATTTATTATATAAACGTCGTCAGTGTTATTCGTGCGAATATGAGAGAGAGAAAGAGAATCGTTTTTATTCGGGAACATGGTAGGGTTGTAAGATACATATTTATATATATATATATATATATATAAATTCATAGATGTATGTGTATACTGAACGTTTTTTATTCCAAACATTCGACCTCTCTCGTCTGGTAATAGGCTTTTTCCGCGCACACGCGAATATGTACATAATTTTTTACTCTTTTCTCTCATCAGATTCCATTGCACATGTGTGTGTGTGTGTGTGTGTGTGTGTGTGTGTGTGTGTGTGTGTGT